TTGGCATCTTTTGAAATTTGTGTGAAATTGGCAAAATTGCTAAATTCTGACCACTGTACTGGATAGTTGAATTTATAAATGGGTGGTTTCTTGCACCCATTCGATAGAAAAAATGGAGTTCTAGCGAAATATTCATGTTTTTTGTCGACTAGTACAGTGAAATTGGCCGAAAATGGGGCTCAAAGTGGGCAAAATCGCCGATGCGTAAACATCGCCGAGACGGCTAACTTTGCGAGAGCATAATTCCGTAAGTTTTCTATCAAATTTCAAACTTTTGGTGTCGTTATGATCGGGAAAAGATTCTCTATCTTTTCATAAGAGAAAATAATTTTTTTTTTTTTTAAATTTGGCCGACCCTGAGAACGAGTTTCGGAGAGGGCCTGTCGACCCTCAAAGGGTTAATGGACAATGTACTGTGTATGTGCTTTACACAACAAAAAGCATTTCTTTTATTCATTGGAACAATGGCTAGGGCTAAAAGTAAGCAGGTTATAACAATAAATGGAGAAAAAGAAATTAGAATGACTTATGCAGCAAGTAGCGCCACCAAACAGTACCAGCAGGTTGGTGTGGTGACCCTGGAAATTTGAAATTATGCTAGCTGAAATTAGTGCCGAATAACTGAAGGAACCGAATAATGATTGCCGGATTTGTGATGGCGGACCTGTATAATTTTGAAAAAAAAATATCTTGGATGGATTAATGAAAATGTGTATATTAACGTAATATATGACATTTAATGGGACTCGGTGATTATTATTATTATTATTATTATTATTTCTAATATGGCGTCACTTGTGCAAGTCGTCTGCTACCACATCTCATATTTGTTTGTTTATTCTACTGTGGGGCGTATTTATCATCATTATATGTTATGCATCATGTTTATTATATAATTTTGAAAAAATATCATAGATGGATTAATGAAAATATGTATATTAACGTAATATACGACATTTAATGAGACTCGGTGATTATTATTATCATTACTAATTGGACGTCTCGAGACATAAGACACTCTTAGTGATTTTAATGTGTACCTGCATGCCAGCACAGTATGTAAGTTTATTTAGGTACAGGTATACATAAGTATAATTATCAGAGTACGTGTATATATAAAATACGAAATAACTTTTAAAAACACTGGAGTTTCCAGACATAATGGAGAGACTTAGTGCATACAGATTTCACAGAGAATGTAAACAAACCAGGTGGGGCGCAGTGACCGTATTAGAAAGTTGGGGGGAGCCGTATAGAGAGGTTTGGTCATAATTTGAAATGACCGTATTAGCGGAATGCCGTAAAGCAAAACGCCGTAAAGCAGGGCCCTACTGTATTATATTTGTAACTTTCGTAACTGGTGACCAGCATTTGCAATTGGTTCCAAAGTACAGTAGGGTCCCACTTATATGGCAGGTTAGGTTCCAGGCTACTGCCAGAAAGCAGACATCGCCGGAAAGCAGAACGCCATTTTTTCCACTTATAAATGCATATAAATGCCAGATAACAAGTTGGCAAGAGGCGTGGAGTTAAAAGATAAAGAATCACACACAAAGTGGGAGTTGTCACAGCTGCTCTTTGCTGATGACACTGTGCTCTTGGGAGATTCTGAAGAGAAGTTACAGAGATTGGTGGATGAATTTGGTAGGGTGTGCAAAAGAAGAAAATTAAAGGTGAATACAGGAAAGAGTAAGGTTATGAGGATAACAAAAGATTAGGTGATGAAAGATTGAATATCAGATTGGAGGGAGAGAGTATGGAGGAGGTGAATGTATTCAGATATTTGGGAGTGGACGTGTCAGCGGATGGGTCTATGAAAGATGAGGTGAATCATAGAATTGATGAGGGGAAAAGAGTGAGTGGTGCACTTAGGAGTCTGTGGAGACAAAGAACTTTGTCCTTGGAGGCAAAGAGGGGAATGTATGAGAGTATAGTTTTACCAACGCTCTTATATGGGTGTGAAGCATGGGTGATGAATGTTGCAGCGAGGAGAAGGCTGGAGGCAGTGGAGATGTCATGTCTGAGGGCAATGTGTGGTGTGAATATAATGCAGAGAATTCGTAGTTTGGAAGTTAGGAGGAGGTGCGGGATTACCAAAACTGTTGTCCAGAGGGCTGAGGAAGGGTTGTTGAGGTGGTTCGGACATGTAGAGAGAATGGAGCGAAACAGAATGACTTCAAGAGTGTATCAGTCTGTAGTGGAAGGAAGGCGGGGTAGGGGTCGGCCTAGGAAAGGTTGGAGAGAGGGGGTAAAGGAGGTTTTGTGTGCGAGGGGCTTGGACTTCCAGCAGGCATGCGTGAGCGTGTTTGATAGGAGTGAATGGAGACAAATGGTTTTTAACCCTTTGAGGGTCGACAGGCCCTCTCCGAAACTCGTTCTCAGGGTCGGCCAAATTTAAAAAAAAAAAAAATTATTTTCTCTTATGAAAAGATAGAGAATCTTTTCCCGATCATAAAGACACCAAAAGTTTGAAATTTGATAGAAAACTTACGGAATTATGTTCTCGCAAAGTTAGCAGTCTCGGCGATGTTTACGCATGGGCGATTTTGCCCACTTTGAGCCCCATTTTCGGCCAATTTCACAGTACTAGTCGACAAAAAACATGAATATTTCGCTAGAACTCCATTTTTTCTATCGAATGGGTGCAAGAAACCACTCGTTTATGAAATTCAACTGTCCAGTACAGTGGTCAGAATTTAGCAATTTTGCCAATTTCACACAAATTTCAAAAGATGCCAATTTCCGAATAGGTCCAGAATAAACAAGAAAGACATTCCTGGCACTAAAATGACATTTCCTCTAGTCATTAGTCACGTCTCAAGGCCCCTCTTATATTCTTTTGCTTTCCAGTTTGAATTTTTATTTTCACAAAAAATATAAGATTTACTGTTATGCAGACTACTGCATTAGTGTAAAAAATGGTATAAATATTATTGGTGCACTTGTAAAATAATATTAGACTCACCAGTTGACGTGTATTGCACGCTTGGCACGATTTGTTTACTTTTGAAGTTTGGTAAAAATCGAACATTTCTGCTACTTTGAGCTCAATTTCAAGGCACCTTTCTTTGTAAAACCAGTCAAAATCATCTCAATTTCTGTAATATGTCTTCCATTCTATAAAATGAGACCAAGAAAACTAGAATACAACAATAAATACCATACGAAAATACACTGCAAAGTCGCTGATTTATTAAAAAAAAATGGTCAAAGTTTTTTTTTTCTCATTATGCACTGTGTGCTGCAGGATTTTTTTTAGACTGTGCACACTGACCACATAGACCCATTCTTTCATATGAAGGCCTACCAGCTTTCTCCCACTAGATTTGAGGCCGCTAGAATTTATGAGTACTAGTACGTCAAAAACCCCTACGCGTAAGACGTACTATTACGACGAAAACCCTCAAAGGGTTAATACTTGACGTGCTGTTGGAGTGTGAGCAAAGTAACATTTATGAAGGGGTTCAGGGAAACCGGCAGGCCGGACTTGAGTCCTGGAGATGGGGAGTACAGTGCCTGCACTCTGAAGGAGGGGTGTTAATGTTGCAGTTTAAAAACTGTAGTGTAAAGCACCCTTCTGGCAAGACAGTGATGAAGTGAATGATGGTGAAAGTTTTTCTTTTTCGGGCCACCCTGCCTTGGTGGGAATTGGCCAGTGTGATAATAAAAAAAAAAAACAAGTTTACACTATCATATATTAAGTTAGCAATAGAACTAGGCATTAAAAAACAATGAAAAGTAAAACACACAGCACACTCATTATTTACCTCAAAATATTCATAATCTTAATGTAGGTCAAAAGATGCATAGTATTTACTGTAAGAAGTTAGGTGTGGTAGCCCTCCTGGCCACCCCCACCCACACATAATATACTACGACAATGCTTAAACTTTACTCCATAGTGATAAAATGCATATACAGTACACTCATTACTTAAAATATTTGTAGTCTTATTGTAGGGTGAAAGGTGAAAAGTATTTATTCGTAGAAAGTCGTGTGGTAGGTAGGGTAGTGTAGGGATGCCTGCCTGGCCACCCCACCCACTATGTAAACAAAGAGATGCTGCATCCAGTTATGGTTCATAAACATTCATACAAACACCTTACATTGTGTACAAATTGTCTCCACAGTGGTACAATAGAATAAATATAGACCAACACTTCCATTCTCATGTAATTTTTAGAAGGAATGATGCTCTGACAAATTATTGTTATTGTTATTACAAATTATTACAAGTTGTTATTATAATCATAATTAAAAAGAAGCACTAAACTCACAAGGGTCATGAATTGCTATATATAGAGTGAAGGCATATTAAAGGAATATTTATCTAGTTATCCCCCAGTGTTTGATTAGAGAAAACAATTCTTCCAACACTCCTACAAAGCCGCTTTGTAAACAAATCTCATTTATGTCAGTTTTTATTTTGTGGGTGTATGTATAATGTTTATATGCTATGTAACATGTTTCTTATATAATTTTGAAGAAAATACCATAGATGGATTAATGAAAATGTCTATATTAACGTAAAATAAGATATTTAATATGCCCAAGAGAGATTATTATTACGTAGTATTACTATGGCATCATGAGTCGAGAGACTCTTAGTGATTTTAATGTGTACCTGCAAGCCAGCAGTGTGTAAGTATATTTAGGCACAGGTACACACAAACATAATTATCAGAGTACATACATATAAAATATGCAATAACTTTAAATCACCTGAAATTTTGGAGGTTTCCAGACATAATAGATGTGCTCACAGAGAATGTAAACAAACCGGGTGGGGCGCGCGGTATAGCAGATTTTGGTCATAATTTGAAATCGCTGTATTAGCGGAATGCCATAAAGCAGGGCCCTCTTGTACCATTATAGTAAGTTTGAAATGTTATAATTTGAAACAACATTAGTCTGGGGGTGGGTAGCTTACTGTATTCTGAGGAAACTGACATATATTAACTTTTATTCCTTCAATTTATTTTATTAATTTTACTCTGTAGGTGTGCACTGCTGGCAAGAGAAAGAAGGATGAGATAAGTGTAGACTGCCTTGATTTTAATAAGAAGATTCTGCACACAGCCTGGCATCCACATGAAAACATTATAGCTGTTGCTGCAACTAACAACCTTTACATATTCCAAGACAAATTTTAGCGATCCTCCTTCAGTGACTAGAGCTTTGGTAAGCAAGATCTCATTTTTTGAAATTTTTGCAAGACAATTGTAATTTAGTTTTTCATAAATTTGCAAGAACTGTATACTGTATATGACAAAAATGTGTGAATTTTTTTTATTATTTTTTATTTTTAGGCCCTCCAGTTGGTGGATGTTTGGGCAGTTACACTGAGGTGTAGAAGGAAGGGTCCTTGTGTGTGGCCTCTGCACCTTTTGTATGAACTGTCCACAACTCAACATCTGCTGCTTGAAGCCACATCACTCATGATGGCCACTTACCTTGGCATCCCCCAGGTCACATTAAGGCTCTTGTGTCTTGGGTTGTTTCCAAATCAGTGGTGGCCTAAAGTGCCATGAGCCAGTGGCAACTGCCCAGGGCTGTTGTGCCCACTTGTCAGTGCTGCCATCCCATAGGACATGTCCAGCAGCCTTCCCAGCAGCTGATTAATGGATAATACTATGTGATTCCTGGAAAAAAACCATGTGGGTGCCCTACCCTTGTGATCATTTATCTGTGTTTCACCCTCAGATCATCTGTTGAGAAGTGTTGACATTAGTTGCCTTCTCTCAAGGCTATTAAAACATAATTTAAGAAGAATAATGGCTGACTAGGTGAATCCAGTGATGAATGGATAGGAGTTTGCCATGTTATTATCAATAGATTAGTGGCTTTAAAATTAAAAAATATGAAATGCAGAGCCCAAATTTTTTCTGATGCCTGGCTTTCTGATGAATTTGAATGTGTCTTGTTCCCAAATCGAGCTGTGACAGGTGACGTGAATAACCAAGGGAATGGGGTATGACAATACACACCTCAGGGATACAGTTTAGTTTCTGTTTATGGAAATATGGGCAGAAAACTAACCCTTACTAAAATGAGGAGTACGTGCTGCCATGCCCTGCTCTCTGTTGCCGAGTAAGTAGCATGAATGTTTCATACCGTAAGACTTGAGTTGATGTGCTCATCGCTTTCTACACGAACATCTCCGGCTGCCAGGAATGCGGCATGATTACCAATTTTGAGCTCCAGTTGGTACGTTTCAGTAAGATTATTTTCGTAAAATAATATTGATGAAAATGAGACTTAATTGAATGTTCTTGAAGGTTCACAATGGGTATTCTTGGCGTAAATATCTAGTGTGTGGCACGGCCGCACAAATATTCCCTCTCTATCATTCAGTTTTCTTTTTTCCATATTAACATTCAGAAATTTGTTGAGAAGGTGGTTATTTAAAAATGTTTATGGTCTCAAACTGCTGTATAATTTTTAATTAGTTCAATGTAATAAATTATATTTCAGTAGGCAAGCTGTGTTTTTATAAAATCAGAATTTAGAAGTGGCCAGTTATTCCTCTAATCTTTGGTTCTTAGCTTTGTATTTTTAGCTACAGCTGCTCTCTATAATTCAGTCTTAATTAAGTATTTTAATTTGATAAAATGGGTGATGAAAGTATCCAAATTTGGATTCATTGTAATAGTTAATTATCTAATTGTGATAAAAAGTGCTGATCTGTTAATTAATTATATAAGGGATGCTCTGCCTTTTTTTTTTATAAAATAAATTTTTAGGTGTACCACTAGTTCAACTAATGTTTAATCATGGCTGGGATACACCTTTTTATGCAGAGATGCTTTGATTCACCAAGTGTTCAAGTAATTCACTGTACAACACTCAAGCAGTGACATGCCAGGTTTTTTTTTTTTTTTTTTTTTTTTGTGGGCTATTTGAACTTTGGGGACGGGGGGGTCCATCAAAAACAAAATATATAAATGACTATTTATAAGGTGATTTCCTCTAGTTAACCTCCTACAGCATTCAACAACTTACATCAAAACGATTATTATTATTATTATTCTAACCAAAAAGAAGCGCTAAACATCAAAACGATTGATAGTTATTTTCTTCACCTGGATGTCCCTCAAGGGAGGTTTCTTGATGCTGGTGAGAGGTTCTTGATTCAAGGAATTGGACTAGCTCTTATCTTGGATTAAGCTTAAGTTCCTGCCATTCCCCAGTTCTTTGACCCTTAGAGGTTTAGTTCTTTCTCATGATTGTAGTTATCTCAATGCAAAGAATTGGCTCTGACATTGTCATCCTTGAAGGGATTCTCCCTCATTCTCTGGGTGCTGTATAACCCCTGTGGGTTTATTGTTCCCCTTCTCCAGTTAATAAAAAAAAATTCACCTAGGTGCCAGTGCTGTATGGGTTTAGTGCTTGCCACTAAAACCGATTCATCTAGATGCACATGTAGTACACATTAGAGCTTTATCTCTCGCGCACATGCACGTGTGTGCTTCTAATGGTCTTCATTCCTAATGGATTTTCAAGTAGGTAGGTACTCCTTCAGCTATTCCCTCTTCATCACAGTCCTGTCTTGATAAAGGTATTAATGACTATCATTGTGTGATCAGGAGTGCTTTCTGTCATAGGATCCTGTTCCAAGCTATAAGGGACCTAAAAGTCAGTTTGATCAGGAATCCTTTACTTCAGAACCTCCTGATTCTCTGAAAATCTGCCACCTCTCCAATGCACCTGATAGGTAAAACCTCACATTTCTTATCCACCCATCGACTCCCTGGGCTTCCTGCAGTCTTCCGAAGGGCATAGATCAATGCCCACCCTCTTCCTCCCATTGTCTCTCCCTCTAAATCTCTGTCTTTACCATTTCCCTTGGCTCTCTTTTTATCAGTTCTTTAGCCTCCCTATCTTCAGAGAGCAACTCTGCTAATGACTTTCTATCTGGGCCCCTCTGCTTCCTCTCCCTCCATTCTTGTAACAACCCATAGTATCCTTCCTTTCATTTCTCATACAGTCAAAGTGCTCTGCCAATGTTACACCTACTACTACACTACAGTACACTATACCACCTAACTTAACCTCTTCAGTTATTTCCTTTGACCACAACTTCAGACTCTAAAAACTCTGCCAGTATATTGTTCCTTCATGCTTTCCTCCTAACAGTCTGACTTAACCAATGACCTCTCTTGTATCTCTAACAACTGCAGAAATACATTCACCTCCACATACCTTCAGTATACCCACCTGTACCCACAGATCCATTTCAAAAGACTTATCTGGGCTACCTGGAGGTTATTCCGGGGATCAACGCCCCCGCGGCCCGGTCCATGACCAGGCTAATGTGTCTTTCCCGAATTTTCCTCTTCCAGTTGTATCATACTACCTTTGATTATTATTATTATTATTATTATTATTATTATTATTATTATTATTATCATCAAAACTATACTACCAGGGTCATACAGCACACTTACCTTTTGAGTTTTTCTACTCCCAAAGCCTGGCCTTGGACCAGGCTCATCTGGTGTGTTTACCTGGTCAGAGGTTGGTGGCCTGCTGCCCCACATATCCATCACAGCCTGGTTGATCTGGCACTTGGAGATACTTGTTCAGTTTCTGCTTGAAGACTTTCCACACTTGTCCATGCAGTGTTTCTGATATCTTGTCTCCAAACAGCAAATATCCTAAACTCCTTTAAAGAAACCATTCATCTCCACTCCTATCTAACATGGTCATACATACCTGCTGCATGTCTAAGCCCCTTGCACACAAAAACCTTTTACCTCCCCCCTCCCTTCATCCTTTCCTAGGACAACCTCTACCCCTCCTCCCCTCCACTACAGATTTATACACCCTCAACAGGATTGCCTTACAAACCTAAATACAATAAACCCTAGTTATATTGGACTAATAGGGGGATTGTCTGCATATCCATTAAATCATAGCAAAAAAAAAAAATTATACTTAATATAGCATCATAGATTTCTTTTTTTAACATGGCCATTTCCCACCAAGGCAGGGTGACCCAAAAAGAAAAATTTCATTATCATTCAACCCTTTTCACCATTCATTCATACATACATAATTTATATATAATTTACAGATATACTGCAATAAAAATTGAAAATAAAGGAGTTGAAAGTACAAATTAATCAAATTACTCAAGACTTTACTATATATTGTATGATGCTAGCTTTGACACCCAGTACTTTCAGGTATCCTCCACAACCCCATACACACACTTTGCATCTTATACTGTTCCACATAAATCCTATGTTAATAATTTACTACTGCCACCACTCTGAATTTACCAACCACTCTAGCCAGTTGCCACAAGTACCTAATACTTCTGTAATGCTGGTGACTCGTAATAGCCATATTACACTGGAATATCGGGACACGGAATATTGGATACAGTGGACCCTCGACCAACGGTATTAATCCGTTCCAGAGAGCTTGTCCTTAGCTGAATTTATCATTAGCCGAATTAATTTTCCCCATAAGAAATAATGGAAATCCAATTAACCCGTTCCAGACAGTCAAAAATGTTAAAAAATTTTTTTTTTTTTTTTTCATGAAATATACATTTCCCTACAAAGAAAACAATGAGACATGCACAACAACTACATAAATCAATGCTAAAATGACACTTACCTTTATTGAAGAGTATTGATGAATGATGAGACACTTTTTCTTGAACACACTGGGATTTTCAGAGTTATACATGAGTAAAGGCTTCACTTTGCAATCCCCACTAACATTACAACAAAACATGAGAGTTAGCCTGTCTTTCATAGGCTTGTGTCTTGGGGATTTTCCCTTTTTTCCTCCGGGTAATGTAGGTCCTTTGGGCTTTTTTTTCTAGAAAAACCCCTTTTTTCGTACAATTGAACCTTTTGGGTTGGAATTTTTGTTTTGCCATCCCATATCAACTGTGTATCCCCACAGATTCTTAAATCCCAAACCAACCTTTGCGGGCCTTTAATTCACCAAATGAGCACAGTTCCGGGCATTTTTCCTGTTCCCCTTTGGGTTTAAACGGTGTGGGTCGCATCCGGGGACAAGTTTAAGGCCCCAGTGAAATAAGTTACAGTCCTCGATGACCCTACTTTTTGGTTATCCTGGGTGGCAACCCTCGGGGGTTAATTTTTTTCCATAACGTTTCCCGTTAACCACACCAAAAACCCACACACTCCACATCTTGAGTAGTACAGCTGACGGTGGTGCACAGCACCGACAGGGGAAAGAAAGCCTGACAGGGGAGAAACCACAGCTATGGAGTACGCAGCACGAGGTGGTACAGCACAAGCTGACGGTGGTGCAGCAACGCAGACTAAACCCCGTGATACAGCACAGCAGCTGATGGTGGGCAGAAACAGCGACCGGGTATGATAGTATTTTTCCACCCTTTTTACCAAAGGGACGGCACAAGAAGCTTTCTTTGGGCTCAGGGTGGCTTATTTATCGTTTCAAGCACTAAAAACAATGAAAATACAAAATATATCAAAAATTATGCGGAAACTGCCCCCGGTTTTTAAACAATGGCAAAACCTGAAGGCGGGACCAAAGGGCACTAGGCTCGACGGGGGAAGGGGGGACGCTTTGGGGATGAATGTCCTTCCTGAGTTTTTCCCTTTGGGTCGAGCCAATTTTTTTATGCAAAAACATCGTCATCAATTTTATTGTTAGAAAAATGCCAGCTTTGGGTCGGGGTCCACTGTATTCCAAAAAGATGACTTCCTATTTTTCCCTAGTACAGTTAGGGCCCCACTTATAGGCGGGTTAGGTTTTCCGGTTTTTCGCCGGGAAACAACATGCCGGAAGGCAGAAAGCCATTTTTTTTTTTTCCCTTTTTAAAAAACATATAAATCCAGACAACAAGTTTAACTAAATTATTTTTTAAATTAGTAATAAAATAGGCATTTAAAAAAACACAAATAAAATACATTCACAGTAAATTTATTACTTACTTAAAATATTGTAATCAATGTAGGGAGAGGGAGCAGTACTTATTTGTAGGAAGTCAGGGGCGGGACCCAGGGGGAGGTAGCCCTGGGGTCCCCTCTCTACTTAATATATATAATTAAAACACCCCAAAAGGGGAAAATAAACATACAGTACACTCATTTTTACCTTAAAATATGTGTATCTTAATATTAAATAGGGAAAAGGGAGTAGATTTTATGTAGGAATCAGTGTGGTAGCATGCAGGGTAGCCCACTGGGGTACACCTACCGGCTCCTACACTGTGGCCCCGACCCTATTATTAACATGGACATGCCTTTTTCACGAATTTTAAACATTTGTAACAACTACCTTTTGATGCCACATAAACGAAGTAAAAAAATAATGAATAATTTGTGCCGAAAATTGTAAACAAAAGCGGAGTAGGGGGTGGCTGGGCCCAACCCCAGATTTTATACATGTTTTCCCCTGAGACATATAAAAACGCATGACTTTAAAAAACTTGAAATTTTGGAAATTTCCCGACAAATAGATGTGGCATGG